GGGTGGGGAAGCAATGGGGCTGCAGCGGCCACTTTTAGTTTAGGATGGATACAATATTTTACCTTCGCTTTGTCCAAAACATCCCCAGAATGCAGGAAATATCATTTCTGGAAACCATATTTCAAAAATTTACTTTGAAACATATTCCAGACTTTCACTGGTTTAGTTCGTGTAATGCCCAATTTTTACGCCCAACGCTTCTCAGATCCCTGGATCTGCCGCTGCTCGCTCATCAACTTACAGCACAATATTGGTATCCGACAAGTTCTCCCCATGAACCTTTATCACAGGGCGCCATGTATATTACTACGAGCATAAAAACGTGTTTAACCACGCGTAACCTCATTCTGAAGCGCTTGAATGTGAGGCTCAGCTGGGGAAATCTATTGTTCGAGTCAACATGGCTGCTGAATGATAAAGGTCCATTACTCGGGCCTTTGAACGTTTGTTCCTTAGACTTCTACTTACACTGAGATCTTGTCTTGTGCTTGCTCAGGCTGAAAAGCCAAGAACTGGAGACACTCGATGAAAGTCTAAGAAGGAAAAACATTCCATTTAATAAGAGGCTTTGCAAGACCAAACAAAAGGACTTTGGCTTCAGTTTTAGCATTAAAAAAATTGCACAAACCCTGTTCACTATATGGTAGTCAAGCAAGTGCATTTGCGTTTCACTTCTGAGGTGTCAGGTTCGACTCGTGTATTTGGTATCACATGTGAGTAGAGTTTGTTAAATCTCTCCCTTGATTCAAGGGGTTTTCTTTGGGGTTTCTGGTTTTCCTCCCTGCGCAGAAACCTAACACGCTAAATTGCAATTCCATTAGTGAGTTAACCATGCCCTGACTTAGATCAGCCCAGAGGTTGTTTCAGGGTTCTATCTGTGAGTTAGCCGTGCCCTGACTTAGATCAACCCAGAGGTTGTTTCAGGGTTCTATCTGTGAGTTAGCCGTACCCTGACTTAGATCAGCCCAGAGGTTGTTTCAGGGTTCGATCTGTGAGTTAGCCGTACCCTGACTTAGATCAGCCCAGAGGTTGTTTCAGGGTTCTATCTGTGAGTTAGCCGTGCCCTGACTTAGATCAGCCCTGAGGTTGGTTCAGGGTTCTATCTGTGAGTTAGCCGTACCCTGACTTAGATCAACCCAGAGGTTGTTTCAGGGTTTGATCTGTGAGTTAGCCATGCCCTGACTTAGATCAGCCCATAGGTTGTTTCAGGGTTTGATCTGTGAGTAAGCCATGCCCTGACTTAGATCAGCCCAGAGGTTGTTTCAGGGTTTCATGAAAGTGATGCTTATAATCGGTGTTTGTTCACTTTTTCTTATAAACATTACAGTATACACTCTAATCTTACCAAAAACATCTCTTCAAACAATTCTGTGCCTTTTTGTTTGACACGGCCATGACTCTAGATCGAAAAAAACAACATTAGTTCAAATAGAATCTATGTAAACGTCACAAAAGCCATTTTAATGTTACTGCAGACCCTACCGTTCGAAAGATCAAGCAGTTTTCGTACGAGTGGAAAACATATGGTACTGACTTACATAAAACATGTACACGCTACGACATGATGTAACATTGAAATGGCTTTCCACAAGAATAGTTATCGTATGAGTGAGAAACGTACAACACTGACTTACAGCAGGTAAACGCAACGACATGCCGTAACATTGAAATGGTTTCCCATTGTTTCCCATCCAGTAAGTCATTAATCAAATTTAGTTACAGTACTACTGTACGGCTACATTACGACTATGAATCTGCCATATCGTTTCACACTCATAGGAAAACCGCTCTCACATTATTTATCAGAACCTTGTTATCTTCAGGTATTGATTCACTAGCGATCTCTTCTAATGTATGAAGAGTTTCCATCACGATGTTTTCAAACAGCAACGGCTAGGAATTAAAATTAATCAAATTTATGTTCAATATTTAAAGATTGATAACAAAGTATTGTTGTCGATGATGACGGCGGTTCGGGTTGGTAAACGGAGTTAGTCTGATCCGGCACGGATGAGTTTGTGGTGTTTTCTCTCGTTTGGAAAAGGTACGCATTCGAAATCCAACCCAACGCCGCTAGCTGAGAAAAATTTACATTGCATGTATGCTGAATGTGGGTATATAGGAAAAATAGGAGGAAGAGAAGGAAGAGAAAGAGATGAAGATGATGAAGATGACATTGATGAAGAAGGGGAGAGGGTAGAGAAGGAGAAAGAAGAGGAGGAGAGGGAAGAGAAGAAGAAAGAAGAGGAGGAGAGGGAAAAGGAGGAGAGGGAAGAGGAGGAGAGG